ATGCCTGCGGGGGGGGGGTATTAAAATTCAAAATATTTAACAGATACTCTGTCCCACATGCTGATCAATTTAAACAGACGTAGACACAGGCCCTGTAACCCTGCTAGGGAGGAGACGAGGCTCAGAGAGGATGACTGCTCCAGGACACAGGAGCTGGATGAGGACAAGCTGGCAGACTGTCAGGTAGGAGCTCCCACACCCCAGGAGGGCCCGAGTCTTTGGTAGGCAGGAGGGAGCTGAGGGAGGGGCTGCTAGGGATTTGTCAGTTAGAGCCCGGCACAACCCCAATGAAAATTGCCCCAACCTGAATCTGCATTCCGATATGGTGGGTCCTGAAAACAGCACCTGCTGATACCACAGGCTTCTGCTGTAAAGACAACGAAGAGATAATGACAGTCCCAGCCTTTCACTGCATAGGGAGAGGGGCTCGGCCTAGGGGCTGGCCGAGTGACCATCCACCCCCTCACCCACTTTTCCATCTATGCACCTACCCACCCACCCACTCATCCACCCGTCTTCTTATCCATCTATCCATCCATTCACCCATCTACCCATCTGCCCACTCACACATCCACCCATCCTTCTAGCTATTCATCCATCCAACTATCCATCCATCCATCCATCCATCCATCCATCCATCCATCCATCCATCTACCCATCCATCCATCCACACTTCCATCCATCCATCCATCCATCCATCCATCCATCCATCCATCCATCCATCCATCCATCCATCCACACTTCCATCCATCCATCCATCCATCCATCCATCCATCCATCCATCCATCCATCCATCCATCTCCCTACCCACCTACCTATCTACCCAACAGTCTCTCGGGCTGCTCCTCCAAAGCAATCCAGGGTCTCCTGGTCTCCAGCCCTGCCTGACACCAAGAGGCCCTGAAACTTTGCGAATCCCCAGTTTACAGAGAAGGAAACCAAGGAACAGAGAGGCAAAAAGTTGTCCAAGGTCACACAGCAGCAACAGTAGAGCTGGAATGAGAGACCAAACCCAAGCATCCACAGGAGGTTGGGCCCCTTCCCACCGGATTCCACAAGTTGGAGAGAGAGAATATATAATACTTAATACTGTGTTAGGCATATCTATCATAGACACACTCGCTCAATATCCCTTCCTTAACTATTTCTCGTTGAACTATGGGAGGTGGGTGGGAAAGATTCAAAGATCCAGCCCATTCTACATAAGACAAGACCAAGACTGGAGGGGAGATGCCCAAGTCTGAGCCCAGAAGCCACGATTCACTGATCATCCATACAACAGAAAAAGAAAGGCACAGAGACACAAAACCAGCCCTGGAACCCAGGTCCTTGGCCCTCCACACACATGACCCCCAGCAAGAAAAGCAGTGGCACCAGGGTGGAAAACTTACCACATTGTCCGGGGAGCAGGAAGAGGAGGAGCGGGACCAGCCTGGCCACTCGCTGCCCCATCAGGTCCCCTCAGGGGCCTATGGCCTCAGAAGAGTTTTTGCGCTGCCAGTGAGACCCCAACTGCCTTGTTCTCACCCCTGAACACTTTGAAGCTGAGCAAGAAAGAAGACTAAAAAGATTTTTTAAAAAAGTTAGGTGTCATGGCCCCTCCCGGGCAAGTCAAAGTGAAAGAGAAACCCAGGAAGTCAGCTCAGTGGTGGTGGTCATGGCCTCATGCCAGCCACAACCTACTTGGGGGTCAAGTCAGACCCAGGATTCCTGGTCTGGGGTTCTGTTCTGCTGGCCCCAGACCCAAGCTGGACACCAAGCGCTAGTCCCCTGGGTGGCCTGGGGCTCTGTGTCCTTGGCCAGGTTTCTAGCCCTCTCTGGACAACCTTTGGGACTCAGTAGTTAAATGGGAGCCCAGTGTCCTTGGATGTCTGAGGTCACTCTCCCAACAAATTGTTATGAGGTGCTTGCTGTACACTGAGCCCCCAAAATGTCCACCTCCCCATTTCCCAAACTCCAGCTTCAGGACACCCTGGTCCTCAGCTCCTGAAGAGTCTCCTTGCTTCCTCCAGACTCAAATTAGTCTTACCTCTGTGTCTGTTTCTTGGCCCCTGGAAGTCTCAGTGTTTCACCCTCTCTCCCCACTGTCAACAAAGGCCCAAAATGTCCATGGAGAAGATTCATGCTACAATGTGGATGAACCTCAAAAACATGATGCTGAGTGACAGAAGCCAGACACAAAACCCCACATGTTGTATGATTCCACTGATATGAAATGACCAGAACAGGCAAATCCATAGAAATAGAAAGTAGATTAGTGGTTGTCATGGGCTGGGGGAGGGGAGGTGGGGAGTAACTGACTGCTCATGGGGACCAGGTATTATTTGGGGTGATGAAATGCTCTGGAACTAGACAGAGGTGCTTGTTGCACAACATAATGAATGTGCTAAATGCCTCTGAATTACACCATTTAAACTGTTTGTTTTATGTTACGTGATTTTCAGCTAAAAAGAAAATGTTCATGAAGCCCAGTAGAACTGAGGAGCAGGGGGAGGGTCTCTGCTGGGGGAGAGCATCTGGGGAAACTGAGGCCAAGGTGGGCAGAAAGGAGTTCTCTCTTCTGAGGATCCCAGTCCCAAGGGCTAGCTGTGCCAGCCAGGGTCAGACGTCCAGCAAGCCATGAGGTCAGAGCCACAGGAACAAAGAGGCAGTGTTCCAGGCCTGGCACAGTGGGGACGGGGACCCTGTGACCCCACACAGTGTCACCAGCAGTGCAGTGGGGCCCAGGCCAGGCCCAGGGGGCAGAATGGATTTCAGGACTGATGTGTGAAACCTGGGGGAAGGGCAGATACAGAAACAGAGACAAAGATTGAGAGAAACATAAAGATGGAAGAGGTAGTTGGAGACACTGGCAAACTCATTGACCCCTCTCAACGATTCTAAGACACCTCCTCCTCCAAGAGACACCATCATGTGTCCTGTTTCACTCATGGGGAAACTGAGCCCCGAGGCACCCGAGACTGAAGGTGAAGAAATGGAGAGACAGAGCCCAACAGTGGCGCTGAGCTTTGCCCCTTCAAGAGTAAGGCCCATGCCCCAGGGCTAACCCCCTCCTCCCACCCCACCAAGGTTGGCACTCCCAGGACTCAGCTTTCCCATCTGCACAATGGGTTGCAGGAAAGATAAAAAGGATGCTGCCGACTAGAAAGCCAATATGATTAATCATTGGTTTGGGACCCTCCCTCTGCACTGGCCCTTGCTCTTGTCATACCTCTTTCCCATCCCCCCAACATCAGAGCAGCTGCTGGAAAAACACTGAAGGAGAAAAAGAGATAGGGTGGAGAGAGAGCTGGACATAGGTGCCTCCAGCTCCTTGGGGTTAGGGAAGGGCAGAGTCTGAGAGTGTTCCAAAGGACAGCAGAAGGGCTGCCCAGAGAAGGAGGCTCTTGGTTTACATAATTACAGGGCATTCCCAGCAGAGGGCACAGCAGAGGCAAAGTTCAGGGGACACACTTTGAGTAACACCAAGATGAACATGATGGGTCCAGGGCTCCATGGGCAAGATGAAGGTGGTGAGGCCCGCCAGGGCCTGGAGTGACGGATTGAGGGGCTGGGCTTTCTCCCGAGGGCACTGGGGAGCCATGGTGGGTTTGTGGGCAAGACCCTAGCCACACACGTTAGGTGATGTTTCTACACTTATTGAGGTCACAGTCCAAGGTTTACCCAGAGGTTCACCACAGCCCACCTTCCAAGTCTTTGCACACACACCCCACCCTCCCTTGTCCTGCCTGCTTTTTACACCACGAAGGCCTGTGGGACCCTTATTGGTTCCTCCCAGGTGACCCAGAAGCACAGCTGAGGTATGCCCCCAGGGCTGCCCCACTTTCAGATGCCCCACAAACTAGGGGGAGAGGAAGTCAGGCAGGATCAGGTTATAGGCATCTCCTCACCCCCGGAAATCAAAATTCTTGTCAGGAGGAACCACAGAACTTCCCCACCCCCTTGGCTTCCGTTTTCTTCCCCTAGAAAGCAATCTTCAGTCTGAGGAGGGTTGAGCTACTTACCTCCATGTGGTCAAGAGACTCTCATGCCCCTGAGGGGCATCTAAGGAGAATGTTGAAGATGAGTAGGAATTTGCAAGGAGAACAGCTATCAGTTTATTTAACAAACACATTAATAGGCATCATTTACCAGTAAGAACATTTTTCATTCACTCAACCAGGATTTTCTGATGCCTGCAGAGGATCATTTGAGGATGTTTCAAAAAATACATAGAAGGTTACCAAGAAAAAAAAATTCACTCTTTCATTCAACAATCACAGTTCCTGATGACCCTTATGGAGACATCTGAGAAGGGTTTTGATGGATGTGTAGTTCACAAAAAATATATATTTCCTCAACAAATGTCCTCTGATGCTTCTCAAAGAGAATATGAAGAGGATTTTGAAGGATATATAAGTGTTCAGCATGACAAAATTGCATTCATTCAGTCATTCAGTCAGTAAGTGCTCCCTCTTGGTCATTAAAGGGTCATTTTAGAAGGAGTTCTGTGTAGGAGTTCTCCAGATAAAGCAGGGGCATTTGAGACCTCTCTGGTGGCTCCTCATCCAGCAGCTCATCATTTGTCCAGCCCACCTCCAGTACAGGAAACCTCTTTTTCCCCCAGGATTCCAGACTAAGTCCCAGGGAGACTGATTAGCTGAGTTTGAGTCACACGTCCACCTTAAACTAATCACAGCGGCTGAAGTGAATAAAGACTCTAGGTCACATGTCCACCCTAGCCTGGACTACAGGAGAACTTTTAAGCAGAACTAACCAGAAACAGAACAGTTGGCCATTATAGGGCATGAGCTTCCCATCACCTGGGATATGCAAGCCACAACCTGAAGTCCATTTAGTGTAGTGTTGCCAGATAAAACACAGGACACCCGGTTAAATTAGAATTTCAGATAAACAACTTTTCAGCATAACTGTGTCCCAAGTACTGCATGGGACTTATACTGAAAAATTATTCATTGTTTATCTAAAATTAAATTTTAAACTGTGTATGAGAAGAACAAGTTTTGCCTGGGAGTCCTGTATTTTTATTTGCTCAATCTAGCCACCAGAACTTGGTGAGTCCTACAGAACCTCACAGGCAATTGGGTGGATGACCCCCTTGAGGGCACCCTTCGGCTTGACGTACTTTAATGCCCAAGTCCAACAGTGCGGCAGCAGAAGGAACCTGCAGCTGCAGAGGCAGTGGGAGTCCCAGGAAAAGAGAGAATGTGGATACTATCTTGGGACTTTGTTTTCATTCTGCAAAGTGGGGCTGAACAATTATCATCAGATACCTTGTTATGAGGTGGTCCTCTTAAGGCACTTAGCCAGATATCCAGTTTGGCACTCTTCAAAGGCATCCATCCTCAAAAAAGAAATTGGCAACCCTGGCCAGTGTGGCTCAATTGGATGGAGAGTCCTGTGCACGGAAGTGTCAAGGGTTCCATTCCCAGTTAGGGCACTTATCCGGGTTGAGGGTTCGATCCCCAGTCAGGGTGCGTGCCAGAGGCAACCAATCGATGTTTCTCTTACATTGATGTTTCTCTCTCTCTTTCTCCCTCTCTCTTCCTCTCTCTCTCAAATCAATAAAAGGTGGGGAGGACAACAACAAAAAACATGTTCTCGGGTGAGGATTTAAAAAAAGAAAAGAAACTGGCAACTACAGTGACTGTGTGTTTTGTAAATTAACTTTCATTGGGACTGGGATCAGAATTAGGGTGAGGCAAGAGAGGCAGCAGGGTAGTGCAAGGGCAAAGTTTGATACTGTCTTTATTTAAAATATTGATGTTTAGTAGATAATACATCCTTGTATTAATTTTTATTTTAAAAAATATTGTGTTAAAATATTACCTATCATGATTACTGAGTTGGGGGGGGGGTCAGGCTTAAATTTTGCACAAAGGTGCCTCACACACCTCACCCTACCAGCTGTTTTGTGCCTGAGCACATAAATTAACCTCTTTGAACCTCAGTTCCCTCATCTGCAAAATGGGGGTGATAATGCTCAAAAAAAACACAGGATTTGCTCAGATCTAGAAGGATCAGATCTACATCCTAAATGCTCAGATCTAGAAGGATTCAGTGAAAAATGTTTACTTCTAGGCTTAGAATGGGGCGGGGCCTTCAAGGGCGGGGCCGGCCCTCCCAGTGGGGGCGGGGCCTTCTATGGGGGGGCTCCCCAGGAGGGGCGGGGTCAATCCGAGTCAGCTGACAGGCTTGGCCAATGGTGGGGCCTCGCAGGCTGGGGCAGAGGCGGGGGCGTGTCCGAGGCAAGGACTAG